CAACCTGTCAACCAGTCAACAATGAAAATATTTAGTATATTTTAACATATTGTCAACCTGTCTACCAGTCATTTATTTTTTTTTTAATTGTATAATTTAAATACCTTTATTGCCCATGAATACATATATAAATTTATTTTAAAAGCTGGAACTATAGTACCGTATATATATATCCTATATAAGTCCGATATAAAATGATGAGGACGTTTTCATAAATTCTTGTGCAGCTGTAAAAAGAATGTTTAAATTTGTTATCTAAGACTATCATATTAACAATTACGGTACCAATTTAACTGAAAAAGTTGTGTGTTTTAACAATCAACCTATATTCAAATGCCCTCAGAGGCAATGCCCAAGGACAACAATTTGAAAATTAAAAACCTAGAAGTTTCTCGAAAATAGTGATATCGTAACTTTGATATTTAATTTATTTTCTATGCCATGTTTAAGCATTCTCTTTCCGCGCTTATGACATGCAATTGAAAATAAGCTAACAGTCATCATTTACTTGATTGTCAGTTGAAAAGTTAAAGTTAATGTGATAAACATTGACAGTTCAACTGAAAAACAACGTAACCAAATGGTCCTCTGTTTATTGTACACAAGACTATGTTTCGCCCTCTAGTCGTAGATGTATTTTGATTATTTATGTCGTTTGGTTGCTGATTCATTGATATATACTTCTACATCTCCGTTTAATAATATGTAATATAACACATCAACTAAGAGCATGAATAAACCGAAAACTTAAACCACATTAACTAAGAACATGAGTTAACCGAAAAATTAAAACATATAAATGAAGAGCATGAGTAAACCGAAAAATTAAAACATCAACTAAGAGCATGAGTAAACCGAAAAATTAAAACACAATTTAACTAAGAGCAGGAGTAAACCGAAAAATTAAAACATATCAACGAAGAGCACGAGTAAGCCGAAAAACTAAAACACATTAACTAAGAGCATGAGTAAACCGAAAAATTAAAACATATCAACGAAGAGCATGAGTATAAATAGAAAAATTAAAACACATCAACGGGGAAAATTGAAATACACAATGTGCAAAAAAACAAGAAAGAGATTTGGTGAAAAAATAAATAATACTGGACGTACACATACGTGTTTAAAACTCATCCTAGGCATATCAAAACTGAAAAAATTAAAAGCAGCCAAAAGCAAAGCATAAAAATACATTGCAGATCAGGGACATTTCACATCTTTCCAGGACTGTATATAAGACTCTTATTGACGTATTGATAGTTCTTTGTCCTAATCACGTAACAAGCCTAGGATCTGGGTAACAACAAAATCAAGTATTATCGTCTGCATAATTATATAAGGAGCTATCATTTAATGAACAAAAATATATCGTTGGTGAAACCATTATGGTAATAGCGTGGTCCACAAGTTGTGCCATGTGGTACATATTTAGTGATGTCAGCTTAACTACTCAGAACGCTGCTTACTTTCATCTGTTTGTGTTTTATGATTGTCAAACAAGATGTAATTCCTTACAATGGGACACTCTACAAAACAGAAGAAAAAAATCTAGATTAAAAATGCAATGTAAAATTATAGGTGGTTAGTAGAAGTTCTTATGGACAAATTAACAAAATCAGATAGACGCGCTAGGGGTCAACATAAATTTCGACAAATTTCAACTAATAAAGATTACAATAAATATTCTTTTTATCTAAACACCATCTCTGACTGGAATTCACTACCTCAATCGACAGGTATGTATGAAACCCTGCAATCCTTCAAAAGTGGCATCTCCACTCTAATTATAACATTTGAAGGATACACACCAACTGATTAAACCACCAAAGCTACTAGCTGTACATAATTTATCATATGTTAATCAATGGATTTTTTTTATTCTCTTATTAGGTCTTTCCACTTTTCTGTGGAAAGACCTATTGTATTTGTTCTGATTATTATTTTTTTCTTCCGCCAAATTTTGTTATCGCGTAAAATTTTTGTTTCGCAATATGTCACTAAGATATTTCTTATATAGTATCATACAGTTTATGCCCTTTTTATTCTCACCCATTCAAAGCCGAACAATTTTCTTTGTAAGAGTTATCTCCCTATTCACTGTTTATCAAGTGTGTGCATCTCCTTCGTAACAAAAAAAGATATCGACAAAATTCTTTTTCTAAATTTTACATCCTCAGAAATTTTTGGCTAATTTGGATCGAAGCGATTCGATGAAATTTTAAAGGAGTTATCTACCTTTACCAAATAAATTTGTCGGTATGTTTTTTTTAACTCATAAACCGTTAACCGTATAACCCTGGAATCTTTTTATTTGAGGTCCCTGAGTCCTAACTTAGAAAATGAGGTCAAGGTCAAGTTCTCAATTTTGACTTTTCCTTGTTTTTGCATTTTCTCAAACACTTTTAAAGATATATATGAAACAACAAGTGCAAAATGTTTGCTTTATTGTAATGAAGATATGTTACATTTGGTCTGAAACAATTTAATGGCATCCTATAGGAGTTAATGCCCCTGAAATGTCCAATTATAACCAATTATAAGGTTAATTGATTATTACTTCAACTTGGTTAATTATAAAGCCATGTGACCTTATACAAAAGGTTGGATGACATATGACCTTGAAAAATGACAACCGGAAGTGACCTTGAGAAAACCGGAAGTAGCCATTTTTGCACTTTCTTCATGGAAAAGTACTCGGAATCCATATATTTTGTAATTTTAATTCATTAACTTATCACTGAAGACTAGAAATGACTTTCGATAAACCAGAAGTGGCCAATTATCTCCTGGTTTACAAGCAAAAGCATATCGAAACTATATATTTTTGGAATCAGTGTGAAAGAAACTATTATATGAGACTGGAAGTGACATTTACTTCACCGGAAGTAGCTAATTATCTCCCTTATTTCACTCAGAAGTATATAGAAACCACTTATTTATCGCATCAGTATGAAGAAACTGATGATAAGATTCCAATCTTAACTTTGAGTAAACACGAACTAGCTTCTTTTCGATTAATTTCAAAATTGCTGTGGAAAGACCTTAATTCAATTGTTCTCTGAACAATTGGTTTTTAATTGTTAATAGAAACTTTTAGTAAAGTCAATATGTACATAGCACACAAGTTCCGGGTAGTTTTACACTCCTACCTAGGAATTTACTCCCGTATCCAGAAGCACTTATTAATAAATAGTAGACATAAGTGGGCGATATTTTGGTTTTTAATGAAAATCTTGTGAGGGAAACATATTAACATTGTGTTTAGACTCCTTGATGATATTTATTTCTTAAATTTTTGATACTTTTATCGATCATCCACACTTCAATATATGTGGGACCAGAGACATATTAAACGAGCATCTTTCAGTGATGATCTTTTTGTACTGGATTTTATAAACAGAGCTATATTTAATTCAACTTTCAGTAATGATCTTTTTGTACTGGATTTTATACGGAATAAAATTAGTTAGTTTAAGTTAGGGACTGGTTTTTGGGAGAAAACATTTGAATTTCTCTTATTTTTTTCAAGTCTCCACCTTGAAGAAGGAAAATAAATTGAAGACCCCCCCTTTTCCAAAGACAAGAAAACTTCAACTCCCGAACACTTTACAATATTTTTATTATTTACAACAACAAAAAAGCATGCATACAATTTATATTTATATTATCATTATTCAATAAAATAGTGTATCAGTAGTGGAAATAAAGCTTCAAGTGGAGAAGTTGCTTGTTACTTCAGGGAACTTTATTTCGATAGACCAGTTATGGTCTCATTGACATTTACCACACCTTCGTTCAATTTCTGCACATTATTCCTTACCTTTATTAAAGAAGTTAGTAAATGATCTTTAATACTTTCCTTGAAGAACATTTTGAAACTTGGGATTTTTATCTTTAGTCAAGTTAACAATTGAGCCGAGTGGAGCGAGTTGAAAAAAAATTGATGTCTTTCCTGCCTAAAAAATTAAAAATGTTTCATTGTAAGGGGAAGCATTAGGTGTGGGTCGACTAACTCCACACCTCCAAGTCATAACGGAACACTATCTTTAAAAAGACATATTAAAAATTCCACACTTGACTCCTAGATCATGTAGATATCAACTTGAAGCATTGAAATATATGTTTGATCACGCGTTTTACGAATAATCATGTAATGAAACAACTATTTATATTATCAGTCTTTTTATTTTATGGAAAGGGGTATAATATTAAGAAAACCTTATAGAAAACCTGCAAAAACATCAAACCATTTCCCTATTATAGTCATTTTTCATGTCCAACAAACAAACAGAAGATGGTCATGACTCGCGATCGCATGAATAAAACAATGAAATGATGTTTTCAGAACAAGAAGCCAAAAATAATGACACAAGAGATAAAGATGAATTTCTCAAATTTTGTAAACAAAATTTCGACGCACCCACCTGAAGTATTGAAAATTTAAATACCCAGGAATTTTCAAGCCCCCCCCCCTTTTCAGGTTACAAATGACCTAGTCCAAATAATTATGTCGTCTGGAAAGGCTATTTTCATTTTTTTGCTTTGAAGACTAGCCGTCACAGCAAAAATTAAAATAGCATAGCTTTCAAGACGTCATTGTTATTTGGACTCAAAAATGACCAGTCCCTTCAAGAGTTGGCTAGTTAGCACAGGCACTTGTCTCTGAAAAAAAATCCTATATACATTAAGGTATATAGGATTTTTTTCAGAGATAAGTGCCTGTGCTAGTTATAGTCAAATAGTTAAACGGTTAAGTCATTGATATGTCTATGCTGGGAACAGTATATCTAACTATGGTAGCGTCTTGGTAATTTATCTTAACAATTGAGCCGAGTAATATTTTTAGAAAAATATTTTAAATTAGTGTTTTCAGAGATTTTTGTGTGTCTTTATGTCTTTTGTGGGAAATAAAATATTTTCTATCAGCCGCTTGGTCAATTCCGTTCTTTTAACGTTTCCACTTACGTCTTTCACTCGGTGTTTAAAATTGTGTTGACTCTTTCCAGGTCAAGGTCGCAACAGAATTTTTCAGGTGTGAGATTCCCACAATTAATTTTGCCAAAAATACTTCAATAACAAGGCTGTTTGCATACAAGTAACCAAACTGATCAGCTACATTTACTTTAAACAAAAAGCTTATATTTTTAATGATCAAATACTTGAAAATGGTTCAATTATCGGAAGTCTGATCGACTTGCCTGTTCAGTGCTAGATTCAAGATGGCACGCATATTTATTTGGTTAATATATTGTTCCTCGTGAAATTAAAATGGAAAGCCTTATGAAAGCTTTCGTCAAACGTTTAATTTTAATGATTTTTAGACGCTTATAATAACACCAACAGATATAAAAAAAAAATCACATTGGGTAGGATACAAACATGGCATGAAGTCATGAACATTCATTTGTACAAAGACAAGTTGATTTTTAAAATAAGTGACACCGGGATCACACATTGTTTCAAAATGCAATTTTTATTTCATCTGGCGTCATTTCTATGCTGCTGGCAGAGATATTTCGGGCACCAACATTTTCCTATGTAAAATTTTTATCATGACCAAGACCTTATAAAATCAATATCAGGGGCAATAACAGCTAAATTTTTGTAAATAATCTCCTATGTTGGTAAAGAGAACTTACTGAAAACAGTATTTTATGGTCTTATAAAGTCAATTAAGATGGGGAAAAAAAAGACAATATTATTGCGATGCATGGCAATTTTACTTAATTTCAACTTCAGAAATATCATATGGTATTTATGACTTGAATACAAGTTCTTTGTATAATAATATGGAGGCCGTAATTATACAAAGTAATCTATCTTTTGCATAATTACTTCAAAAGTGTTGTGTTATTCATTGCTAGTTAAAATTTGGTGATAAGTGTATAATTCAACTGATATGGTATTTTAGTTTTGAAAAGTGGTGAAAGAAATTGGCTTCGGGAGCATGTTGAATATAGAACTTATAAGAAGTGACAGAGATCTTTATCATGTTTATTTATGCAAGTTTTGTTTTATTTGTTGTAGTTACCATGGCAGCAAGAGCAACAAAGGACTGGCGTCTGGACTGTAAAGTATATATTGGTGATTTAGGTTATGGTGCTGCTAAACAAGAAATAGAAGACGTGTTCCAGAGATATGGACCGCTAAGAAATGTATGGGTGGCTAGAAACCCTCCAGGTTTTGCTTTTGTTGAATTTCAAGATCCACGTGATGCTGAAGATGCTACAAAGGCTCTTGATGGCACGTAAGTATTGGACCACTGAAAAACGAGTTGGCACATAAGTATTAGACCACTTATAAATGTGTTGGCATTCAAGTATTGGACCACTTTAGTTGGCACATAAATATTGGACCACTTTAGAATGTGTTGGCATGTAAGTATTGGACGATGTTTTGCTCAACCATTTGAGTGGAAGTGGTCCTAATTGTTTTGATTGGCATTGATCGAATCTCGTGGTAGAAATTGGTTTGATTTGTCATTAGTCATGTTAGTGGTGATTGAACTGTTAAAATTAATTTAATTTAGATGCATAACATACTGTATATACCAGTCAGGGCTTCCAAAATTATTTTTAGCCAGCCGGACATTTTATATATTATCCCGATTTTAATCCCTTCAGACTAAATAAACAAAAGGCAATTATCATGATTATGGTAATCAGTTGCCGAGTTGGCCATCCCAATGATTGACATTAAAAAAAACGATATTAAACTTTCTTTGATTCAAATTCGAAGTTCTGACGTAAACTGTTAAATTGGCAGTGCATCATTCGAAGTGTGCAACATCAGCGTACTTATATCTGCCTAAGACTCTTTATTTGTGCAAAATAACGTTGTCAAAAACTTTACTTTCGTTTTTATACCGGATGTTATCTTGACAATGGTAAAACATGGACCAGAGACAGATACGTAAATTCCGTGTACGTTTGCAAATCGTGAATGAGTGGAAGTAGCTCTTTCTACGTTATTTCTTCAAGAAAAATATTCGAAATAAACATGAGATAAAGGTATCAATGACAATTTAAGCATTTTTTGAAGAAATTAGGATGCATAATTAAATTTCACACCTGCGCACACGTGTACGAGTTCAAACAGAGACATGTCTCTAGATTCAAACAACGTGGTTATGACTATTTTTCATTTTCACCTTTTTAATTTTTTCATCAAATCATATTTGTAAACGTATTTCTGATAATTTAAATCTTTTTTGACTAAATTAATTAGATGCAAACCGCTGAAATGTGAGAAAATAACTTTGAATAGACCGATCAATGTCCGGTTCAAAATAGTTTACCTGTCACCTGAACAGGTAAATTTCAGCTGTTTGACAACTAATTAGCCTTGATTAAAATGAGAAGGTATTAAAGTAGGGGTTGTTTTGATAGTACTTAATGATCATGTAACTTGTATGACCGGAAATGTGTGGCTGTTTAAGGCAAAACGTTGGGTCAAAAAGATCACAAATTATGTTAAAATGACCGTCTCTTAAAGCCTTGAAAACTAAAAAGTAGATGACCGTTTCATGCTTTGCCCAGCTGGACTTTTACCGGACATTACACAAATGTCCGGCATATATGACCGTTTTGGAAGCCTTGGTATATACAGTGATTTCCTTTGAAATATAAGTCCACAAATTCGTTTTTATAAAGAAGTTTTCATAAGAGGGGGCCCGCTCTAGTCATACTTCAGTGATTCCCTATATAATCAACCAAATTTTTTCCACAAAAGGGGGGGCCCCAGGCCCCCTGCCCCCCCCCCCCCCCCCCCCCCCCCCTAAATCCGCCTCTTGACAAAATGACGAAAATAAAATGAAAAAATTGTCATTATGCATGCCCAAATTATCAGATGTGTAGTGTTAGTCTGGCTCAGACTTGTGATTTTTCAAGATTTTGTTGACCAGTGGATTTTTTTTTTTCATCTTATTCTTTTTATGGCAGGAAACAGACTGTTATTGCTTACATCCACTTCATTTGAACTTTGATGGATAGTTGTCTCATTGGCAATCATAACACATCTCCTTATTTTTATACTCCCGTCAAATTTTTGACGGGACGTATTATGGTATACAAATGTACGGCGTCCGTCCGTCTGTCTATCCCTCTGTCTGTCCGTCTGTCTGTCTGTCCGGCGTAAACATGTCGCACCGTAACTTGAGAATGACTTATCCAAATTTCATGAAACTTAACATAGTTGTTTCTTATGATGGTCAAACGATCTGTATACTTTTTGGTGAAAATAAGATTACAACTTTTTGAGTTACGGGACTTAGTAACTAAAACAGGTGTGTGTTTTTTTTTCACATGTTGCGCAGTATCTCAAAAACAATTTATGATTATTGCTTAAAACTTTACACACTTCTTAGTTATATTAATCTTAAGATCTGTATACTTTTTGGTGATGATTCAAAATTTTATTTTAGAGATATTGAGCATTTTGTTAAAAAAGGGGGAGGGGTTTTTCACATGTCGCGCCGTATCTCAAAAACAGTTTATGATTATTGCTTAAAACTTTACACACTTCTTAGTTATATTAACCTTAAGATCTGTATACTTTTTGGTGATGATTCAAAATTTTATTTTTGAGTTATTGAGTATTTTGTAAAAAAAGGGGGAGGGGTTTTTCACATGTCGCGCCGTATCTTAAAAACGATTTATGATTATTGCTTAAAATTTTACACACTTCTTAGTTACATGTATATTAATCTAAAGATCTGTATACTTTTTGGTTTTGATTCAAAATTTTATTTTTGAGATATTTGATTTTTTTTTTTAAAAGGGGGGTTTTCACATGTCGCGCCGTATCTCAAAAACGATTTATGATTATTGCTTAAAATTTTACACACTTCTTATTTATATTAATCTAAAGATCTGTATACTTTTTGGTTTTGATTCAAAATTTTATTTTAGAGATATTGAGTTTTTTGTAAAAAAAAAGGGGGGTTTTCGCATGTCACGCTGTATGTCAGAAACTATTTATGCTTATTGCATAAAAATTCACACACAAGACGCCAGGGGTATCATGCGCTCATGGCGCAGCTGTTTATTATATAATATTGTTTTCATCCACTTCATTTGAACTTGGGTGGATAGTTGTCTCATTGGCAATCATACCATATATCCTTATTTTTATATTACATACTTGAAACTACACTATTGCATCCAATGTTGACATTATTTTACAGGAGAGTAAATGGTAGGAGAGTACAAGTAGAAATGTCATCAGGAAAATCACGCTGGGGTAAAGATGGTCCTCCTAAACGTGGTGGAGGGTACAGAGATGACTGGAGACAGGGTGGTAGCAGAGGTGGTGGCAGAGGAGGTGGTTATAGTGGTGGAAGAGGTCGTTCAAGGTAGATAACTCCAGACATATATGTCATTGTATGCCTTAATGGATACAATAACAAAATGTCATGTTAAACAGAAAATTGTGACACAAATGTAGGCTAGATTTTTTTTAAAGAATTTTTAGGGGAAATCAATTAAAAAAATGTTTTCATTTGACACACATATAAGGAAAAGGTTATTACACCTCTTCACAATGTTTAGATCTCCTACAGGGCTAAATGAATGCATGCCGCTAAAATGTTGATGTAAATGTGTAACAAGTACTGAAAACCAAACACGAAAATGTATTTGTAAAAAAAAAATGAAGAACTTATTGGTTGATTTGGGTGTTTTAAATTGTAGTACAACAATAAAGGTTATTTGGAAGGAGTCTATTGATATGAAAATTTGGCCAACCCACCCACAAACACAAGGACTTATGGTGAAGTTTGTGAGTGAAATGCTGTTAACACATCAAGAAACTCTCTCTAAATAACCTTTATTACTTATAATTCCAATAAAGTATGGTAAAATTATATCCAGATAAAAAAAAACTGCTACAGTACTTTTTTTCTTGTTAAAAGTCATATGATACTTCAAATTTAAAAAAAAATTGTAATATGTTTTATATACTCGAATGTCTAAGTTTTATTTAAAATTGTGTACATGGACTTTCTTTCAAAATTTTCAGAAATGTACTGCTATTGAATAATTGTCTTCCTGTACTCTAATTTGACGATAGCTTTTCCGTATGCTGTGACCTTAACCTCGAGACCTCTCGTTAGTACTTTGGCAACTGCAGAGGGCAAGTGCGAGGGAAAAATTGTGATGAAAGAAAAGGTTAACAAACATGAAAGTTAGATAGCATGGATAGTGTCCATTAAGTTGGAAAGAAAAATTTTAATGCACCAAATCATTAAATAACTGTTATGAAGGTCTTAGTATACAACATCGGAATTATAAATATTAAAATATAAATTTACTTTGACAAATATTATATCAAGTATACTTTTTCACTCAAATTTTGAACAAACAATTTAGTGAATTTTATCGAAAAATGTTTGGTTTTTATACTATATATGTAAATGGTCAGGGTTTCCAATCGGCAGTCCTTGTGTATTCAGTACTTAGAATTAACAAACATAGATGAAATGAAACTTCCTTTCAATGAATCATAGGATTGAAAAAATGTGTATTTTAATTTGTTTAACTTGTTAATACTGAGTCTGATTGTTTATGTGCAGCCTAAACCTGTTTCAGAAAAAAATGACAATTCAAAAATTGTTCATTAATATTTGTTTATTAAGAAACGAAAAAGAACAAAAATATACTTGTATTCTTTTTAAAATACTCATATATGTTAGAACAGTACATATCAGAAATTTTATGTTACTTGTATCACAGTTGTTCTATTACACGTCTCCAAAGAGAATTATTTCTTTGTTGGTTTTTAGCTCACCTGGCCTAAAAGGCCAAGTGAGCTTTTCTCATCACTTTGCATCCGTCTTCCGTCGTCATCGTTAACTTTTACAAAAATCTTCTCCTCTGAAACTACTGGACCAAATTTAACCAAACCTGGCCACAATCATTATTGGGGTGTCTAGTTTAAAAAATGTGTCTGATGACCAAGCCCGCCAACCAAGATGGCTGTCATGGCTAAAAATAGAACATAGGGGTAAAATGCAGATTTTTGCTTATATCTCCGAAACCAAAGCATTTAGAGCAAATCTGACGGTTAAATTGTTCATCAGGTGAAGATCTATCTGCCCTGAAATTTTCAGACTCATCAGACAACCCATTGTTGGGTTGCTGCCCATGAATTGGTAATTTTAAGAAAATTTTGCAGTTTTTGGTTATTATCTTCAATATTATTATAGATAGAGATAAGCTGTAAGCAGCAATAATGTACAGCAAAGTAAGATCTACAAATAAGTCAACATGACCAAAATGGTCAATTGATCCCTTAAGGAGTTATTGCCATTTATAGTCAATTTTTAACAATTTTTCGTAAATTTTTGTTATCTTTTGCAAAAATCTTCTCCTCTGAAACTACTGAGACAAATTTAACCAAACTTGGCCACAATCATAATTAGGGTATCGAGTTTAAAAAATGTGTCTAATGACCCTGCCTGCCGACCAACATGGCTAAAAATAGAACATAGGGGTAAAATGTAGTTTTTGGCTTATAGCTCTGAAACTAAAGCAAAAGTATAATGGTTGCATTATTTCATGCATCAATTGTAAACAAAAATATCTGGTGAGCGACACAGGCTCCTTGGAGCCTCTAGTTATAATTTTGTTTAAACTTGAGACTTTTACAAATTTCACAATTAAATTGAATAAATTACTACAGAAGTTGATTCTATGATTGAATTTTTTTAACTGGCGAAGTAACTCAACCTGACAAACTGGTTTACTGTTAGGAAATTCTTAAGAATTTTTTTTTTTAATTTAGCATGATCAGCAATTATTTGAAATTCTGGAGTGACTAAAATTATAAATTTTTTTGATAAATAGTCATTGGTCAGCTAGGTGTATTTGGCCATCTTCTCTGAAAAAAGATGTGAGTACACATAAAAAAGTGCAGTTATGTGTACATTCTTTAGGTTCTTTCCATGCCCTTTTCAAGCAAATACAGTAACACCTGCTACAATATTCAATCTATAAAATGATGTGTACTAAATTTTATTAAAAGTTGCAGAAAGTATTTGAAAGAATCTTTTCTTTACCTATAAGTAGGACAAAGGAAGATAACTCAAATCAAAATATTATCTAAATATGTTTCTTTGCTTAATTCTATGCAAAGTAACGATTCTTATTGAAAGCAATGCTAACATTCATGGTTATCCTTTTCATATTTTCTGATCTTGACGAGTTTGTGTTAGTTGATTTATCCTGTTATTTATCCAGTTTATTGAGTTACTTCCCCTTTTAAAAAAATTTGAATACAGAATTCGAACCATCTACATGTAAGTGAGCTTGTATGAACATTATCCTAGTTATGTACAATGAATTTACTATGTTAAATATCTGTAACATCTACTTTCAGCACATTGATAAATTATGATATATTATAATGTTTTGTGTTTTCTGACACCTCTGTGCATGACTTGAATTGTGTAGAAATTTATGTGTATTTTGTATTTATTAATATGATGACTGCACCCTTTACAGGGCCTCCCTCTTTGTCTTCAAACAAGTCATCAGGCATCACATCAAAAAACAACCTCCTCACGTTTCAACGTTGACATCTTAATCAACCGTAGCTCTGGGTCAACGCTATCAACAAGACCATGTAACAACTGACTCCTCAGCCAAGCTTTTTCAACAAGCACCTCTAATATCAACTCTAAGCTTCATCTCTTAAGCATGGGTTTAAACATCGACAAATTGTCACCTCATCTGACCTAATCATCATGGAATAGGGTACCAGTTCATTTAAATTGTAATTTTTTCAGCAGAAGATACTTTTAGTGTGTTTTGAATCTAACAAAGTTAGTCCTGTTTTTGGTTGTCTTACTAACACTCATTTGCCGTCTTAAATTAACTCGATGCAGAATCATTTCTTGACTATGTGGACAAATTAAAATGGACAGTATTTCAGAACACGTTTGGTGAAAGATCATAGCAATATGAATTATTTTGAGGCTTATATAAAATATGGATATGATTTAGAGCTCAAATGTACGTTTTCAATAGAAAACAGACAATTTGTTAAAATAAGATAGGTCTGTGTGCTAACTTCAGAGATAAAAGATTTTTAAAATTGTATTTTTTGGTGGGAAAATGGTGTCTCTCAACAATATAGTAGAAATAAACAAAAAATCTATAAATTAAAGAAGATGTGGGGTTTATGTCAAGAAGACAGCAACCCAACAACAAAATTTTTTTAAAAGACATTAGCAGTAAATATAAACATAAATTTACATGTTTATGACGGGGGTCTTCAGTGAGCTATTAGTGCATACATCCTCGTTCTTTTGTCTCATTGGTAATCATACCACATCTTCCTACCTTTATATAGTTTTTTAATCCACCAATCAACACATTTTGCAAATAAATTTGATAGAGGCTATCAAAGATCTGCTAAATTCTGCATAAATAATTTTTTTTAAAATTTATCAGAGTCTAACACACTTTGTAAATGTAAGTACTAAGAATAAACATAGACTACCAAATTCTCATGAAAAACAAAAAATGACAAACGACTACCGCAGAGAAAGTTATTTTTATACAGACTGTTTTTTTTTTGTCTATTACATTGCGTCTGCATCAAGTTCATTTATGACAGTGTCATTGTTATGTTTATTTTGGTTCTTAATTAATTGGTAGGTTGGGAAATGATTTCGTTTCATAGTTAAGCATATTCATGATACATGTATGTATCTAAAAATATGGACAGTTTCACTGAAGTAATTTGCTGTGGGAATTTTGGAGGTAAATTAGTACGGTATCTGTTATCAGGAGGATATTGATATTTTTAGATATTCTGATATTCATATTGATAAATATATTTCTTTTATACATGCACATAAATTATATTTTCAAAATTAGCTCTCTAAGGAATACCATTTTTACAATTTTTAAGTTGAGTTCCTATATGTTACCTTTGGGGGGGGGAAGACTGTTCAGTATGAGAATATTTCTTCATCAAGCATTGAACAAAAATTTGGGGAGATGGGAAAAGATTTTTGGTTTGAAATACATGGACTGAATAATGATTGATGAATTGAATAAAAGATATTTCAAAAATAACAAGAAAATATAAATTTTCAAATTGAAGGTTATATTAGAATTTTCTGCGAAAAGATGTCTTTATATTTTTCATATGATATGTTTGATTTGAGAAAAAATATATGACGAAACATAAGTTTTGGTTGGCAAACATGTTTCAATGGATAGTCTATATATATATAGATAGGGAAAAGCCAGAGAGGTTACAAAATGTTTCAATGGATAGTCTAGGGAAAAGCCAGAGAGGTTACAAAATGTTTCAATGGATAATGGATAGTTTAGGAAAAAGCCAGAGAGGTTACAAAATGTTTCAATGGATAGTTTAGGAAAAAGCGGGTAACAAAATGTTTCATTGGATAGTTTAGGAAAAAGCCAGAGGGTAACAAAATGGTTTGACGGATAGTCTAGGAAAAAACCAAAAGAGTTGCAAAATTTTCAATGCATAATCCAGAGGGGTTACAATATAATCACGAAAATTAAGCTAAAATATAACATACATCCTTAAGGGGTTTTCAAGGTAAAGTTATATGGACAGGACTGATTACACTGTGTTAAGTTTTGTGCAGTTATATCAGGTAGAGTTAACCTGGAGGTAGAGGGTTAAGAGTTTTAGTTGAATCATCAAGGTTCTCTGTGCTTTTCACAACTGTTGGTAAAGGGCAGTCCAATAATATTACAACAAATCCATGAAAAGACAGACAGAAGACATCAAAAGTGCCATTTTTTGTAAGAAAGTAACAATGTACATAGAAAGCTCTATATATGTAAGACAAAATAAGAATACTCACCATGGTCATCAATATATGCAAATGAAAATTAAATGTTCATATTGAAAGTGAAAACAGAATTCAAACACAAAAAAAACTTGTAATTAGACCACATATTTCATATATTTGTCATAAAATTATTTAAAGGATTTTTATATTTTTATATGGTACAATGTAAACAGTACAATGAATACTCATTGTCACCTCAAAAGTAGACTTTCAAACTATATATGAAAACTTGTAAAGGTAAATAATTATATGGTAGGAAAATACCATAAAGAAATCTACCCTGTTAGTGGTAAGTGTTTCATAGTGATAATAAATTGCTTTTTCTAGAGGAAGCTTTCCCTACTAAATCTTGAAATTTGTACATTTGATTGTGTTGCAATTATCTTTTCTTTTGATGGATGACAAGTATTTATGCAGTGTTTGATACTTTTTCAGATCTCCTCCTCCAAGACGCAGGGACTCACCATCACCAAGGAGAAGAGGACGTAGTGATAGTCGTAGCAGGTGTGTTTGATAATTATTCATAGAAATAGAGTGCAAAATTCACAGATTTGGAAACTGCCTTAGTTGTCTGTTGGTAGCATGCTCCATTCCATAATTGAAGTTGATACCTCTTAAGTTCAAACAAAACATTTAAATATGTATGTGCTGCTTTTCAGCCAAGCATACAGCAGTAAGAGTAAGAACAGAGGCTTTGACGGCTCTGAGTCTGAATAATGTGTGCGGGTATGGTTGCATGTCTTCCTGTGGAATGTTACCTTGTGGACTAGGAAGATAACTATCGCATGTTGTTTTAGTACAAAGAAGGTTTCATACTACAATGTACTATCACATTATTATGTTCACTTGATAATATGCATGTAATGTTTGCCTCTGGACATACACAATAATCCATCAGAAACCTGAACACTGTCCGACAGTTGGTATTACGATACAAGAACTGCAAAATATACAAGTAATCTTTCTGCATCAAAGACAGACAGCTACTGTGGATTCATTATTATTCATGGGATACCAATTTTGTAAATTTCATGGGAAAGGTGAACCACAAATTTAAATGTTTAACAATGTTCACCTTTTCTTTAGGCTTGTATGCAGACCTTTGGCTAAACCTCAAAATCAAATATTCATGAAAAATAGGTACCCACAAAAATAGGTACCCATGAAAATAGACGAATCCACAGTATGTTAACACTTCACTACATTATGTAAACCTCTTCTGTTTTGTTCCCCGCCCCAAGGTGTTGTTGACATAGTTATAGTAATTGTCTGTCTGGAAATAGCTTTCACATTTGGTAGGATTATATGCATCATATTTTCTTGAAAATAGTATACTTTTTGATAGTCATTTTGATTTAACATATTTTACTATTGTAAGACAAAAATACTAAATATAAAAACAGCCTAAATTGTTCATATTTGTTTTGTAGGTCAAATTCACCTTACAGAAGAAGGTCAAGGTCACCAGTGGACAGAAAGTAAGCTATTTTTTGTAGGTTTCATGGAATTATGGAAATACAGAGTGAGATGAATTGTACAAAGATTTTTTCACATTACACATACACATGTTATTATTATTTCACCCCTGTTTGTCCGTATGTACGTCCTACTGTCTGTTTGTCCAACCCATGAAATTTTCATCAAAAATAATTGAAATATTGGGGTTCTTTGATATGCTGAATCTAACCATATATAAAGTTGCATTACTATCAGTACATATCAGTTTGACAACTATTTTGAGGCCCTGCCCCCTAGGTCATGGTCCAGTGACTTTGAATTAATTAGCAATTTTCAATGTTAAGTTTTCTGCTTAAGTTAGTTTTAAAGGATCTACTTGTGATAGATCAATGATATTTTGTATAAAGTTGCATTACTATCAGTACAGATCAGTTTAATGCTAATTTTGAGGCCCTGCCCCTAGGACATATCCAGTGACTTTGAATTAATTTCCAATTTTCAATGTTAAGTTTTTCTGCTTAAGTTATATAGATAGGAACTACTTAAATCAAACAACGATATTTTTCTATAAAGTTACATTACTGTCTTCATCTCAGTTGTCAACCATTTTGAGTTTGTCAACAGTTTATTATAAATTTATGATATGACATTGAGGAGTTATGGAACTTCAAAAGCGATGGGCTTATCATGCGGTCATGGCGCAGCTCTTTATTATATATCATGCTCTGTTGGTACAGCTGTATGGCAAATATATTGCTGAATTAACTCATGATATCACTGCTACAATGATATTTTTAAGTGATATCTTGTCTTCGGACATCCATGGGAAGATCTATTGTTATAAAAATAAGGAGATGTGGTATGATTGCCAATGAGACAACTATGCACCAAAGTTCAAATGAAGTGGATGTAAGCAATTATAGGGAACCGTTCAACCTTCAACAATGAGAAAACCCATACCGTATGGTCGGCTTTAAAAGGCCCAGACATAAAAAATATGTGTTGGTTCAGTTGTCGTCTTAGCTAATAATATAAAGTCAAAATGATTGTGGGCAATATTATAGTACACCAAAATGATAAAAATTTTGCACACTTTTGAAAGTATTACCCAGATTGCATTTGATCCTGAAACAATATAGTGTTCAACATCAGATTGTTATAATATTACAATGACAACAAAAATTCCCATCATACAAGATCAAATTGAAATTGTGAAGTTGAAATCGTTTTTACAAAAACGAGTCAAAACACACACAAAAAATCACCACAATAAAATGCTGATTAAAAAGTGGGTACTCCAGAAGAAGCAATAGGTAAAGAGGCAAGCCACACCATATGACAGGGGACAGATTTATTATGTACAAAGTAACAATGAATTTTTTTGTTTCAGGAAGGACTGGTGAAGAACGTGGACAGACATTTTGTTTGACAGTCAACTGATAACTACAGATTGTTATTGTCGTTAAAGTCAGAATATTTGACTTTTTAATGTTAGCATTTTAAATGTAACATGTAAATTCAGATATATTTTAATAAATGTTTTTTATTATGATTTGCATTATGAGATATGTTGAGTTTTGTCTTATATTTTTTCTAAAAACCTGTAAAAGAAAATTAAAATTTCATGCAAATTTGATGCAGTATCGCAATTCTTTTTAAAAAAAAATTAATTAGCATGAAAACGCTATATGATTGTTTTCTTTATGTGTAGATTGTTTTCACAAAACACAAAATTTTTTATTCAAAACTTTTTCGACTCAGCCTTATAATGGGAGATAACTCCTATAATTAATTTTATCAAAAATGTACAATATATTTTCTTGTTGTATTATAGCAAGACAAAAAGTATGGTGTCCCCATTTTTTCTTTTAATTTTCTAAAAGCATTTTATACGAGCTATCTTCTTATAATTAAGTTCTAAATTCTGGCAACAAACATCTAATTATTTCAAGAGTAAATTTACATACTAAGTGATTTTAATCTTTATAATTAGGAGATTAATTGATTGAGAGCATGTTAGGATTTTTTATTACGTAAACAATAGCTTTTTTTAATAACATATATATTTGGGAATTCATTTTAGAGTTCAGCTGTTATTATTCCAATAATTTGGGCTGTCTTTTCATTCAATTGATATTCCTATACAAATGTATTTAAAACAGTCATGTTAGTAGTTTTTCACTGGTCTGTTTTTTTTTAAAGTGCAATGTTCAGTTACATAGCCATTTAGTAAAATCAGTCTTTTTTTCTTTAAATGATAGCGGAGATACTGTAATCTGGGAAATTTTCATGAAGTCTTTTTTTTTTAAATGATAGCAGAGATATTGTAAGCTGGAATTTTCACAATGTCTTTTTTTCATGATTTACCAACAAAATCTAAATTCTCAATATCCCAGTGTCCTGTATAAAAAGTATGTTCATAAATGTTTTGGAAAAAACAGTTTTACATGTATCGTAAATCAAGTACTGTAAATTCAGAAATTATTGCAGGGTTTTTATTAATGTGAATAATGCAACTTGGTGAATATGGCAAATATAAGAACTCCCATTCTGATAACTTATACATATATCTGTATTCAGATTTTCCTGAAATTGCAATTATAAATCTCACATTTTTGCAATAAATGCACGCAATAATTTCTGAATTTACAGTAATTAAATCGTCAGTTCATTATGTAAAGGAGATTTCAAGTTATTATTCATATTTGCTGGTAAAATTCATACACCAATTGTTGTTCATATAACAATATCTGTAAAGTCTGTTCATGCGAGATGTCATCAATGTTAATTACATTTATACAAGTTAAAGTTTTGATTTCTAACATTACAATATAGATCTGTCGTTTGTAAAACCAGTGTTAAACATTGGTCTTCTACATATCCTATTACTATACATTCATGTATGGTCTTTATCTCAGTAATTGGTTTTCATTGAAACATTCGCGGTCAATTTATTTTTGGGTTTCAACTCATACAAAAATTTCACTGTTTACAGTAATGGGTTTTAAAAAGTTCCTTAATTAATACGGCATTTGGGTGGATCACTTTGCTCTGAAAGAAGTGAGATTGTTGGACTCCAAAATAACTAAAGGATATTTGTGGTTATATAGTAGGATGTATTATGAACCAGTCCATACAAAGAATTCTAATCACTCTCCCCGGCCCACATTGATTACATTTCACAGGGTTGACATTCTTGCGCTTTAGTATTTCCTGTTTGTCTTAAAATTTATCGGAATTGACATGTATTTCATCTTTCAGAAAAAAACCTGTATGTCTTAAAAATGATATATAACTTATTAATCTCATTTGTAAATATATATCTATATGTGGATCAATTATGTTATTATGAATTTAGTAAAGGGCAGGTTTTTCTTTTTTTTTTGGGGGGGGGGGGGGGGGGTGAGGAATAAATTTTGTTGTAATAATTTTATAATTATGTACATAAGAGAACTTACATATTTGTCTTGTGTTTAAAACTGCTATAATAAAACAGATATGTGTATAACACTCAAAGTTTTCTTTCATGAAGAATGAATAGCCAAATATCATTTAAACTGCTACCTGAAATTTAATGTTTATCTCCTGATGTACGTGCGGTCTCTTAAGGGCATACGATACAGTTACAGGGGAGGTAATGAAGTTGCCAACGTAAAATGTTATTTTTCGCGACGTCAAACTGTGACATATCGGGAAAAGATGCATTTTTCGACTTATTTTTATCATTGAGCCAGACTGATATAACTTGAAAATGAGTTTATGGACCCCTCTTTCTCAAAATGACATTAGGATTGATTACGTATGAAGATTACACTACAAAAGTCAAAAAGTCTGAAAAGACCAGTTTTTGTCTGAATTTGCATGAATTTTTACTGGACATTCTTAATTTGTCTGAATAATTTTTAAAAATTCTTGACATAGTATGAATTTGTCTAATAAGGTTCTTGATTTCTCTTGACAAGTGTCTTGACAGTATGAACATTGTCTTAAAATTTCTCGACACTTCCTGTATCATCTGATAAGAGTCTGGATTAGTCTCGACCAATTCTTGACTGTCTTAAATTTGTCTCGATCTGTCTTGACATATTCTTGACATTCTTAATAATGTCTGAATATGTCTCGACATATTTTTGACATTCTAAATAATGTCTGAATATGTCTTGACACATTCTTGACAGTCTTAAATATGTCTTGACACTATCTCAACAGTATAAATTTCGCCTGAAATGTGAACAGACTTATTCTGCACTGTTTATGACATTCTATTGCTGTTATATACTCCTTTTTATTATGGCTAAACTAAACTTTGAAGAATCAAGGATTAATTTGGTATAGTAAGATACCCTTTTGGTGCAACTAAGTTGTAGTTTAATTTTGATTTATTTTTATTCAACATTTAAGCAATTGTTTTCACTTGAAATATAAGTCGAAGGTATTGACAAACAGCATTTAGATTTTTGCCGTTCGCAAAACTGCCTGTCAAATATTTGCTTTACTAAAATAGGTGTCTTGTATCTCTTTTGGACCCCACAATTCATCTTTTGGGTTTGTGTGGCTAAAAAAAGAGGGGGGGGGGGGAGGGTAGGCTTTCGTTTAGGTCAAATAATTTGTTCCCATCTTGATTCAAAAACCTTATTCATTTTTTAGAACAACCCAAAAACATTTTTTATTCAAATTTGAGTGTTGATTTTTATAATTTTTTATCAAAAATAAATATTTGTGGTAACTCCTTCCTGAAAAGAAAAAAATGTTTAGATCTATATTATGCATGTCTGTTTGAGAACCATTTCATAAGACCGATGATTTCTATATAAATCATTGATGGGACCCATTATTAATACATTTTTTTTTATTATTCCTGGAGTAGATAATAATTTTCTTTTAATCTTTGGGAATTATTCAATTTGTTTTTATGTTAAAATAATTAACTTCATAATTTTGATGAAGAAAATTCATTTCAATTCAGTTTTTTTTCATCAAAATGATGATTTTCATTTTCATCTATCAACAAACTTTTTAA